CACTCACTCTTTCTTCCTATGTCTCTCTCTCTCTATATATATGTAACTTTCATCCACAACCCACTCTCTCCCCTTCTCTCTCCCTCTTTCTCTCTCTCTCTCTCTCTCTCTTTTACTGATTTCTCTTTGCGCCCCTTCTTCCTCGATCTCTATCTCACTGTCTCGTTTTCTTCTCTGAATTTAACAGCTTTTTCTATCTCCTTCTTGTTTCTTGGTAAGCAATGGGAGGGGTCGAGAACAAACCGTTCTGAGAACATCGCAAAGATAACTATAATTACAACTAGTGGGTCCTGCCTCCCATTCGAAGTGAGACCAAGTTGACTCGCGTGACGTTATACCTTCTTATTCCTTCCTCCTTCTCCTCCTCCTCCTCCTCCTCAACCTCCTTCATCCCACATATCAAATTTTTTCTCTCTCCGTCTCTCTTACATTTTGGCACAACGTCATTTATAACGATTGGAAGAGATTTCCTTTTGGAATCTCATTCAGATCGCTCCTAAAGTATGCAATCTTTCAAAACAAAATCATACTAGTCATCCTAGTCATCATATTATCATATTATTATTGTCATATTAGAAGTTATAAAATGATACTTTAGTATATCTCTGAACTATTTTAAATTATTATTAGAAATTCAAATGTAAATATACAATGTTAAAATAAGTTATTTTAATATACTAATCGAAAGATACTTAATTAAGGACCATGATTATCTATAAATTAACAAAGAACATTAGTTAATTTTGATAAAGTTTATTGATAATCTGTAATCTATATGCAGATTTATTATTGTATGTTTATTTTTTATATTTTTAAGAATACGATATTTGAATAATTGAATTTCATTCTAAAAACATGCGACATTATTAATTTAATTATGTTTTATCTAGGAAAGAAAATATGACGTATGATCAAGATGTCGTTTTGAGAGAAGATAAATACCAGATGTTTCACTCGCAAGAGATGCGACAGGTTGCAGTGAGTCATCATGTGCAGTGGAGACGTCTTCGAGACATCTACTTGTTGCACAAAAGACACATTCGTGGTCCTTTTATTCTCTTTAAAGTGACACTGGAATCTGTGAAGCTGCCTTGGAATTTCTGTGGTATTTAAAACGGTGGTTAAAAAGGTATCTTTTTTTTTCATTGCAATTTTACTTCGAAAATTAGTAATACGACTATAAAATATCTACATCATTCTTCGACCTTTTCTATATGAGTATATACATCCGTTTATACCATTTTACAAGATTGAATCATCAAGGTAGACCATACTAACGGGTAACCCATTGAATACAAAATTAGGCAATTGCGTTTGACCCCATTGATATTTTACTTCAACCGTTTTAAATCGTGATTAGAAATTTAAAATTTGGATTTTAGACGTAAAAAGTTAAAATAGTATACTACCAAATGTTTTAAAAGTAAAATAAGTATATGATGTAAAAATGTTCAATATTTTTTCTAATGCACATGTTATTAGTACACCTGATTTAAGATATAAAAGTCTATGATAGTATATATGAAATATCGAAATATTTTTAAAGATAAAATAGATGTACTATAGAATAACGTAATTATGCTTTTTTATCATATTATTTATTACCACAGTATAAGTTGCAAGATGATACTTCAGTACACTTGTGACAAACCGTGATTAGAAATGCAAACTTGGATGTAAAAATGTTAACAAATTATGTTAATATACTTCAAGGAAATAGGTATATTAAATTAAGATAAAAAATTATTATCTTTGTAGTTTATCATGCCAATATCGTCATAGCGCTATCAATAATCGCTTAAGTGGACATCGTAAGTGGCATTTTTTTTTTTAATTTCCCCTTCAAATATCATTAGAAAAAATGTAAAGTATAATTTTCTATAAATAGAATGAAGTATGGGTTACTTGTAAATGAATTGCATAAGTTTTGTAGAAATAATCTTTTAACTACTTGAAGCAATGAGAAACCGGTATTATTAATGAATCAATCCGGTCAATTCTTTCACAACGAGGGATATCCCCGTTACGTTTACGTCAACAGTACATTATAGTAAAGTATATGAGTTAGCGGATACGATATTAAAATAATCACATTGACATGACACCTTTTTTTTCAAGGTACACTCAGGTACATCCCGTTCAAAGTATCATTAGTAAATCTTTATTAATTGATTGATTAATTAAGGGATAACACCACTATAGAGCCCGAAAAAAGCCTTTTTTTGGGAATATTTTTTGCGAAAACTAAATGAAGAATAGAACTTCTTTTCTGAGGGTTGGTTAATCATATATTGAACTATGTACACACATATTTTTATTAATTTTAGATAGAAAATGGCGTCGGTTATCGTGGCTGAACAAAACCCTGTTTTTTTTTTTACTAAAACGGGCGGACTAATATCTGGACAACTGTGAGACTTAGAATAAAAAACAAAAGAAATTCTTAATCTATGTACTATTATCTTGAGAAGTACATACGAATTTTTCCTTAAGTCAAATTTTGTTAAAATGACGCAACTTTGAATAATAAAATCGACTTTTTGACAAAAAAAAATGTAGAAAATTGTTTATAAAAATAAAGTTTTTATTCAATTAAAAATCGGATATGCTATATCTGTAGATAATATAACTATCAAACTATCTTCAAAATTTCAAGTTAATCGGTTAAATGATGCTCGAGTTCTGAGTCCGCCCACTTTAAAAAATGTATAATAGTTGCGAAAAAAACGCGTTTAAAGTTTTGTTATAACTATTCAAAGCGCTTTAAGACGCTTCGAAAAAATAAGATTTTGCAATGTTAAAAATATTTTTTTACTTCAGGACCAAGTTCATAATGTTTTTAGATGTCTAAAGTACACTTCAAGCTAAAAAAACAAAAATCGATTTTTTGAAAATTCTATAGTGGTGTTACCCCTTAATCAAAATATGTAAAATGCTGTAGCTGTAAAAATTAGCTTTAAGATTTTTCGACAATTATTATTAAATTATTTTGCTATAATTAGCGAATCGATTAGGTAGATTCCTTTTCATTTTGATATTAACATCTTTGTCAATTGTTTAGTTAATTAACTTTAATAAAAAAATACTGTCCTGTATCTTTGAAGTGAAAGATTTTTTAATAATTATTATTGTGTGTGTCAGCATATTTTATGTATTATGAAAATAAGAGCAAAAATGTTATACGATCATAGATCATTTAAAGTTTTATTTAAAATTGTTTGATATAATATTGTAAAGCACCTAATTTTTTGATGAAAGTACCGGTTATTTACGCGAATGCAAGTCCGACACTGTTGTAGGACGAAATGAACCTGTTTCGCGTAATTGTGAATGCACATTCGAAAAAACTTAATGATGCTTCACTTTTTTGCCAGAAAATTTGCTTCGATATTCTCTTACAACAGCTAGAGTATTTTCGTCGCACAAATTATATTTGTAATAAATATTCATGTTTTCTTGGTTTAAAAATACTTTCGACATTTTGAACAGTAAATATAAAAATTTATCATTATTGTTAGAACTTTTTAGTTCTCATTTTATAAACTTTACGAAACAAGGTTAAACTATTTCGATTTTACGATATTAATAGTAGTAGACATATTTATAGAATTTTTGAGATCTTCATTTTTTTTTTATTTCAGTCAAATTCTTCGACAATACAGAATTAATTTAAAAGATTTCTAATTTTATCACATATCGGTATCTATAATATATTCCATATGGCTACTCTTTGGAATGAAAATGATTCATACTTTCTTCCTACAATTCCAGATGTTATTTTATTTATAAGATTATAGAACTTAAACGCACGTGCGTATCATAATCTATTGCTTTTATTATAATAAGATAATTAAATCAATTTTACCTCTAATTTTCAATATTTCTCAATTTTTATTACCTAAACGCAACTAATAATTGACAAATTAATCAAACAAATCTATTAACTATTCATTTGATTTAACAGATCATATATTTTTCCTTTATCTATTCTTTTGATCTAAAGAACAAAAAGATAAAAAATGATCGTAAATTAAATCACTTTTTTTCTACCCTAAGGAGTCCTTTTATTTCTTTTTGCCTCATTGATTTACATCAATTTATTTTTTATATAGATTTATTTTTAATCATGCTCCAATATGACGCACCTATTTATTATGCAAAATATCCTTTTTCCTCAAAGATTTCCTTGTTCTTAAATACGTCATCTCTCCTACATACGATTCAAATAATATTCGATATTTTCTGAGAATTTTCCTAAAAATGGATAAAAATATAAGGACATTTATATATAGATATATGTTTTATTTTTCCTCTTATTTTTCATCCGTTTTAATTTATGCATATTCATCTTCACATATGAGATTTTTTAATGAACAATATATACCGGTAAAAGATGATTCGTATAAAAAGTAAATACCCATAATACAAATCAGGTATTGCTTGTAATATTTTCTGCGGTTAACTTTGATAAAAACGAATTTATGATCAAAATTGCATAGGTAATTTTCAGATAATTGAATAATACCAGATGAATCATGTCGATATGAGTCAATGATAAAACCCTTTTCCTAAAATAATGAAATACCACTGACTTATCGATCGTAATAATGATTTTAAATAATTGTATGTAATACGTCCCCGATAATTATATAAATAGAATTTTAATTAGAAATGACAATGTCGTTACTACTAAATATTTTTATCAACATGTTCAATCAAATTTCCGGCTAAAAAACTTCCGAATATTAAATATAAAATCCTTCCTCTTAATTAGAATAGAGGATAAAGTTAGTTCATTATAGAAATAAAGAATTTTTTTCTGCTAAAATTGATGATGATGATTCAAGAAGTAAGGAAATAAATAGTTAATCTGTTTAATTTTGCGGGTGTAAAGAAGAAAGGGGGGGGGGAGAAAAAAAAATTGAAAGGAAGAAAAGGAAGAAAGCTCTTACGTAGAAGATTATTTTTCCAATGTGGGATATGTTACACGTTCATCGACCACCGATCACGCGTGCAACCTCTCTGCCATATATAAATACTCCTCTGCTAGTCGACGAATCTCAGTCAGTTAAGAATGCGTCCAACGACAACGTTTTCTTGAGTAGAAAGACAATTTTCTTTGCTTTAAACGTCGTCCACCTTCTAATCGTTCCAATTTGGACCCAAAAGATCTTCTGAATGAATTTAATCATTCAACTTCTTGTTCTTCTCGTGCATGGGTCTAAACAATTCGTTTATCTTTGTGTTTTAAAATAAGTGCGCAAGGGTAGTGAACAAAAAATTGACAACCAATTGTGCACAAGCGGATGCATCAGATACAAACAAATTTCTTTTTGCTTTAATTGAGACAAGAAGAGGGAAAAGAAGAAGAAGAAGGAAAGGGAAAAATATATACACACAAATAAAAGCAAGAAAAGATGTTCAAACAAAAGATTAAATATGATTTTTGCCTTAGGCTAATTATCTTGATCGTATCGATCATGTGTAATACGGCTCAAGCAATGACGACTAACAATGTAAGTCGTCATCAAATGCATCATCTTCATCGTACACCCAAAAGGATGAACTTTTCACGTTCATTAGAAGCTGCACAAAATTTCTCTTGCCGAGAACCACAATTTCGATCCTACAATTTAAGGGATTTGATGAAGACTGTTCACAGCAATTCGGAAATCGTTGATTTTCCACTTTATATTGTTTTGAACAGATGTGATGTACATTCCGGATGTTGTAAAGCTATAACTAAAAGTTGTACTCCGATAGAATCGCAGATTTATTACGACGAAATAGAAATTGACATTAGTAGTATAGAAACTACTAAGAAGAAAAGATTATGGATAAGAGTTGAACAACACGGTAAATGTATTTGTGCGGATACCAACCCCGATCAACGCCGGAGTTATTCGATCCCGAACATTGAGATGATTTGATTGATGTCATGAACAACAAAATTGATTCCTACGTTCCTGTGAATAAAAAAAAAACAAAAAAAAGAAAAGAATAGAAACTATACAAAAAGAAAAAGATATGTAAGTAAAGGTCTCGGTGATAATATTCATTAGGACGTATAAATGTGTATTATATTTATGAGAACAATATTACTAAGGACTTTTGCCAAAATTGAAATCTTCTTAGAAAAACTAAATAAATCAATCAAATATAAACAAAATTCAAATTGTATACATATATGATATTTAAGTATATTATATATTTTTAATATAATATATATAATATATAATATTATAAAATCAACGACTTAGCCACGTTGGGTTACTAGTTTTTATTTTAGATCACTAAAGTCAAGCAACGTGAGCACGGTCAGTAACATGGATAGGGTGACTTGTACGAAAAAACAAAAGACAAAAACCATATGCTTCTTTCAGAGAAACGGTAAAAAAATTCCTATCTTTGGTAGAATTGAATAAGTGTGAGAAAGTGGTTTATAGAGAAGTGACTCACCTGTTAAAGGGAGAGCAACAAAAAATATATATTTATTCTTAATCGGATTGGAAAAGATACTAATTTCTTGAATCTGTATTACAAGGAGTTAAACTATATTTTTTGCTCTCCCTTTTATGGGTTAAGGTATTTTTCTATTAACACCTTTTTATATTTGTTCAATACCAGAGAAGTTGTGTTTTTTACCGACTCTCTGAAAATCTTTTGTTTTTTTTTGGACAAGTCACCCCATCCATGTTACTAACAATGCTCAAGTTGCTTGATTTTAATGATATAAAATAATCCAACGTGATTAAGCCGTTGATTGAATTAAATATTATATTATATAAATATAATTATAACACTTTGTACTCGGAAGATTCCTGTAAGGGGACATAAGTATTTTTTTTTTTTAGTAATTAGATATATAGATAAAATTTATATTTTAGGTTTAAATTTCAATAAATATGCTCTTCTCAATGTTTAGAAATTCATATAAATTAAATTTCATTAGAATTCATTCTTTGGTTTCAAAGTTATACTATTTTTCCACATTGTCGAATTACTAGTATCCAATTTTTAGGAATGCTCCGAATGCTAAGAAACAATTATTTAATTATAATTATAATAATTATATAAATATATATAATATATGTATATAAAAAAGAAGGTCGTTAATTCACTGAACTGAAAAAAATTTGCATAAAAAAGGAAACAAAATACGCTTCGTTTAATTGTGATATTATATAGATAGCATATTATAATTGTAATTATATTTATATATATCCTATAATATTTATAGTTTAAGTTATACTAATTAATTTATTGTGTGTGATCGTATTTATAATCAATTAGTTTTTTTTTATGTTTATCGTACTTACATTATATCATTTTCATTCAAAAGAAACTTATAAAATATTAACTGACGAAAATAACTTTCAATCAAAGTTTTTACCATTGCATTATTGTTCTTAAAAAACAATTAGGTTGTTTTCTTCATCTTTTTTAAGATATTAAAAAGATAGAATTCTTTATTGATTTAAATTTAATGAAATATACAATTCGTGACACGAATTGTTGGAGTTGGAGACTGAAATAATCATATAAACTGATTTTCATTTATTTTTTTTAATTTCGGGAAGACTTCGGCGTCTTATTAATTAATAAAGGAACAAGTTTATTTGTAATTAAATGAAATTAACTGATATTGAATTTAATAGGAAATAATTATACATTTTTGGAAAGATGGAAAGAGCAGAACTTGATAGCATTGTAGGCATGATATTAATATTCATCGTGCTACGCAATATCCATAAATTATATACTAATGACGTCCATACGTACCGTATATATGTGAAATTATTTTTGGACAGTTTAATACACACATACATGTATATATACCTAGCGAATATATATAAAAAGTAAATTTATTTTAATAAAAATATACACTAGCTTTCACACACACACACACACACACACACATATATATATATATATATATGCGCACGCGCGTGCGCGTTAAAATAATATTCGTATTTTTTTGGCGACAAATTTTGATATGAAAAAAATAGAAGAAAAAGATTTATTTTATTTTATCATATGTAATATATATATAATGAAAACATTTTAAATTATAATTGGAAGTAATTACAAAAATTAATTATTATATATTTAAAGTCCTAAAAATGTTTCAATACAACACACATACAAAAAAAAACGTAATATTAATCAATTTTATACAAGCTAGTTCCGAATATGGAAATTATAGGCTAGTTTATTTATTTATACATTTTAAGTAAGATGACAAATACTGCCATAAAAATAATAAATGAATTATGTTATTCTTCGTTTTTACATTAGCACGTAATAACTTTTTAAATTTATCTTTATATTTTCTGTTTTATTTTCTTTTTAGTTCTACTAAAATATACTTGTCAAAAAAATACTTGAATAAAAAAGAATTAGAAAAAGATCAAGAAGAAAAATAGAATTATTTTTAAAAAATAACGAACATGTTATTATTTGGATTAATTTGTAAAAAATAACGAATAAATTTGGTAGAGTTCTAACAAAAAGGACGAAGAGCTTAGGCACTTTTAAATTACTAATCAAGTCTTCTATACTTGGAAATAAAATGATTATAATGGAATGTAGTTAAACATATTTTCAGTATTAAAAAATAAAATATACAAATAGTATTACTGTATATAGCAATTATTGTTTTCTGTGCAATACTTGAAAGAGAAAAGAAGAAAAAAAAAGGATTCATTAAGATTCCCTATCTTCATGAAATGATTATGTCCTAATAATAATTATTATTATTATAATTATTATTATTATATAGTAAATACGTTATTTTATTTGTACAATGCTTCTAATATCCTATTCATAAGAAATATATTTTCATAAATTTTTGTTCACTAAGAATAAAAAGAAAGTAAAAGAAGTATATATGTTTGTTGTAACGTTACTTGATTTGTGAAAATCCATTTATATTTCTTATAATATTCAATTCCTATTTTTTTTTTTTTATAAGCTAAGTATATTTTTTTTTCTTTTTTTTCAACTGACACTATATTAATGAGATGTAAAAGAGAGATGTATGGTCATATACAATTATATGTACCTGCTCTATATAGTATACTTAAAATCGTGTGTATGGATACTTAGCCCGCATTCTACCTCGTCCTCTAGAACCTCGTCCTCTTCCTCCACCTTCGTTATTTGTTCCTCGTGTTGCTTGACCACGCATTACATTTTGTCCTCCTGAACATAAAAAAAAATAAAAAATTGCAAATAAATGAGTAATTAATTGTAAATCGCGAAGATAATAGATAAGATAAATATATTTAATACATATACTAACATCAGAATTTAAATTTTGTTCTGGAAAAAAATGACCAGATGATGCTGTCTCAAAAGAAATAAAAAAAAGGAAAAAGGCATTTTTATCCAAGATAAATAAATAGAACATATGAAAGAGTATATATGCGTAGTTATAATAACCTCTTCCAGATTGACTTTCCCAGACAATAGGGGTTGGTCTTGCTCCACGAGTACGGAATGGTGATCGTGCTGATCGTCTAAGTGGTGCACCCCTATTACTATTACCATTACTACCAACTGCAGCTGCAGCTGCAGCGGCAGCAGCAGCCATTGTTCGTTGACGAGTATTACTGGAAGGAGATGCTTCAGCTTCTCTGCTTTCTTCCTCTGCATCATCTTCAACAATGTCACTTCCAGGTTCTTCTACACCTTCTCCCGTGTCAACGGCATCGTCATCACCGGACACTAAAGATCCAGCTTCTTCTGTCCGCTTTTCACCTTCTGAACTCACTCCTGCAATTAATTCAATTAATGTGATTTACAATACGAATAATTCATTTGATCGGAATGTATCAGAAATATTATCTTATGTAAATATCATGTCATCTACCTTCGGTTGGCATCGTACTAGATTCTGTAATAGCTTCCGTTTGACCCTGTTGTTGTTGCTGTTGATCTGCACTACCTACACGAATACTTACAATCGTAGATTCTTCGTTAGTATCACTTACAGATGCACCTATTACCGGTACTGTTGTTACAGTACCGAGAGTTTCTTGTTCTTCTGATGGACCACTACTAGTCTACAAAATAAAGAATTATTATTATTTGTAAGAATAACGTACATGAATATGTGTGTGTTATTTAATTACTTACAGATGGAGGTAAATCTGCAGCAGGGGAAACTTGTAAAGGTGTAGTAGGTACACTACGACCAGTACCACCATCTTCTAATTGACCAAGATCTATCCTGTTATCATCTATGCTTTCTTGTACCACTTGGGCTGCTCCTGAACTTAACGAACCAAATATTGTTCGAGTAACAGTTCCAGTAGTAGTAGTTAGTGAAGGTGTCGAAGAAGCTGTATTGGATGCAGACGAATCTCCAAAAGTGAATCGTGCTTGAGGTACTTGGGGTGAACTCACAGCTTCTCCAAATCCATCTCCTCGTCGAGGAACAAACAATGTGGGAGTACTGGGTACTATGCTATCATCACCTCCATCTTCGTATCCTTGTTGTGGCTATAATATCAAAATGTGCATTTAATTAATTATGTATTAATAAAATTAATGTTTTTTTTTTTTTTTAGAAATAGCATATTCATATAAATTAAAAAACTAACTAAAAGCAAATGTTGTTGTTGCTGCTGTCGGGGCATTGGTGCAATACCACGCGATGAGCGAGAGGCAAAGGAAGTTGCTGATTCACCCGTTTGTCCAGCACTACTAATTGCTTCTGATTGCTGTTGCTGTTGATTTACAGGTATCGTTGCTTGAGCTTGCCTCGGAACCTCCACACTAGCCGAATCTTCTTCCATTATAATTTCAACTTCGTTGCTATCTCGTTCTACCTCAGCTTCAACTTCATATGGCATTTCATCTTCCTCTTCCATTTCTTCGTACGGATCATTATCAAATTCTTCTTCTTCTTGTGCTTGATTATTCCCACCTCCTTCTCCTTCGTCACAATCTACTATTACTACACAACCTTCTTCAACTTCTTCATCTTGATCACGCTGACTAGAAGTAGGTACCTACAAATACGACAAGTATTATATATATTTGTTTAAATTATTTGTTTGTATATACCATTCAATACTTACTTGATACTCTATTTCTGAAAGACTGGCACTAGCCGATGACCCTAACTCTGTTTGCCTACTTCTCTTGGCTTTTGGACTAGATGCTTGTTCTTGCCTATTGTGATCTTCTATTATTCCTGATCCGGATGCAGTAGAATCAAGTGTTCTAGTCCGTTTATGACCAGTAGATGCTTGAGAAGTACTAACTGACTGTGTAGAACTGCTAGCTACCGTTTGCTGTTGGTCACTGGCTACCGCTTGTTGTTGTTGTTGCTGTTGTTCAACTCGTGGGCTAACAAGTGCCACAGTCTGTTGCTGCTGCTGCTGTTGTTGTTGCTGACATTGCTGTTGTTGTACATTTAAAGTTTCACCACTTTCTGCATCTTCTCTTTGAGTTGATTCAGCAGATTCGCTCAATTGTGGTTGAACGACTAACTGACGTAGCGTACCTGGTGTAGTTTGTGAGGAACTACTTGTACTAGCTGGTTGAAAATCTGTGAGACTACTTGTCGGAGAACTTGTTTCAGTTGTATGAACTATTTGTTGTTGAGGTTGTTGCTGTTGATGAGGTGCAACCATAACAGGTGCGGTTGCAGTTGTCGGTAACACTGCTGCTGTTCTAGATTGAACTACTACACTCATTGGCCTAATACTTGCTAGAGGTGTTTCTGCACGTGCAGACATAGGCTTAATATTAGCAGTAGGAGGTTCACTTGGCGGACTAACCCCACTAACTCCTGTTAATTGTCTCTGCAACTGTGTAATACGTTGTAGTAGAGCTTCCTTTTCTGCTTGAATTTCTGTCTTTTCATGTTCCAAACGAGATATTCTTCCTTCCATTTGAGATTTTAATGCAGCAAGTCTTGCATCATGCTCCGATGTATCCGAGTCATTCGATCCAGATTCTATTTTTGCTTTCAGGTCAAGCAATTCTTTCTCACAGACTTTTTTTGATTCTGTAAGTTGCATGATCTTTGTCCTAGCACCTTTCAATACTTGTTTAGCACGCTCTTCTTTTTCTACGCTAGCCTTATTCATCGTATCTATCTCTTTCTTTAAAGATTCTGATTCATTTTGAATAATTGATATCTGACGATTCAAATCATCAATCTTCGTAGTTAATTCAACATTCGCTTGTCGTAATTCTTGCCGACCTTCTTCGCGTAATTGGTCTTCGCGTTCTTGCGTTACTTGTCCTGAATCATCGCCTCCTGCATTACCTGAAGACATTCGCGTATCTTCAGATTTGTTTTTCTCTTCTTCTACCGTTTTAGCAAGCTCCTCAAATTGTGTTTTATATTTCTTAGCTATCTTTCTTATCTGAATTTCCTTATTTTTGATATCATTCAAAACTGCTTCCTTATCTCCAAGTTCCTTTCTTAATGTTGCTAAATCTTTAGCTTTTGAAGTAGAATCTGCAAGTGCTTCACTTAAATCTTGACCCAATTTACGTGCTTCCTCGGAAATTTTAGAAACTTGTTCACCTTGTGCCTGTACTTGTTTCTGAAGTTGACTCAATTGTTCTTCCAATTTACTTTTTTCTAATTTCAATTGATTCAATTCCTCTGTACGCTTAGCATGCGTTTCGCGTTCAGAAGTAAGTAATTTACTTAGACTTTCACGTTCTGTTTGCAATCTACGCCAATCTTCAGGACTAGCCTTGTTGGATCTTTCAACTAACGCGTTAGCTCTTTGTCTCCATCTTGTAGCTTCTCCTTTGAGGCCAGTGTTTTCTTGTGTTAATGCTTCATTCTTAGCTGCTAAATCTCTGGATGTATCACGAAGTGGTACCAATTCCTCTGATAATACCGTTACCTGTGACGTTAATTCGTTCACCTTAGCAGACAAATTATCTCTTTCTTCTCTCAAAATCCTATTAGAATCGGTTATGGCATTTAATGTTTCAATTTTTCTTAATAATTCAGCATGCTTGGATGTTGTAACCACATCAATTTCAGATTTTTCTCTTTCGGAATTAAGCATAGTTTCAGTTTTCTTTAATCGTTTCTCCGCCATTTCTGCTTGAGATTTTAATCTTAAATTTTCAGTTCTCAAAATGTCAAATTTAGCCATGGCTAAATCTTTCTCACGTCTCAAATATTTAATAACTTTGAGTAATTGTTCAGCAGATTTGGAATCTTCATCCGCGATACTAAAACTACGATTCATTGCTTCGATACTAGTATTTGGACTGTCATTATTTGATTGTTGACTTCGCATAATAGTTGTTTTGTCACTTAACTCTTGAATTTCGTCATGTAAAAGAACGTTTTGTGCATCCAGATCTTCAACCCTTTTTAAAGTTTCTTGAACTTCTTCAATTAACTTCGTTTCTCTTTCCTTAAATGCTGCTTTTTCTAATTCCAATGCTTCAACAGCTGCATTTCTTTCTTGAGTCAATGTTGCCATTTTTTGATCTACATTTTGCATATCTTCTTTCAATTTTGCCAGTAATTGTAAATCTGCCGAATGTAGAACCATTTCTCTAGTGTACTTTTCTTCAGTTTCCAATGCAGTCGTCGAAGCAACCTGCAAATCACTTTTAACAAGTTCTAATTCACCCTTGACTTCGTCAAGTTCTTCGAGCTTTCTTTCAGCTTCTGCGAGCTTTTGCCGTAACTCAGAATCTGTTTCTTGGCGACCATTTGAGATTTTAGCTAATTCTTCACCTAATTCTTTAACTCGTTTTTGAAGGGAATTAACTTCAACTCTCGATTGTTTCAGAGCATTTTCCAATTCTTCTTTACATTTATTATGTTGTTCTGTTAATTCTCTTAACTGTACCTCTGCACTTTCAGCAATATCGCAATATTGTTGACCCTGTTGACGTGCAGTTTTTAATTGTTCTGTTAGAGATTTAACTTCGGCTTGATTGGTTGCTAATTGCATTTCTAGTTCCTTTAATCTTTTAGTCATATTTTCGTCGCCAGTAAAAGGTTTTGATATTGAATGGGCAACAGCTTGTCTTAACTTTGAATTGGCTTCTTCAAGTTTCAGAACACTTTCTTTTTCTGCTTTACGAGTTTCTTCCAATTCGTTACGAATACGTTCAGTTATTTCACGTTCCTCTGCTAGACGTTCCTGTGCCGTATTTAATTGTTTTTCCATAGTCGATAATAGCTCTCTGAATCGATCTTGTTCTTCCTGTAGACGTCGTCTCAACGCAGCACATTCTCTGGAAGCATCGTCGAAACGTTGCTCAATACGTAATTGATTTTCCGCTTGAACACGCTCCAAAGAAGCTTTGATAGATTCTACATCAGCTCTTAACAAAGATTGCGTTTGTCTTTCCCGTTGGAATAATTCTCGTTCTTTTAAAAGACGTCCTTCCGAATCTCGCAATAATTGTCTTTCTTGACGTAAATTCTCTAATTGTACTTCGGCGCGAGACAAACGTGTTTGAGCAGATAGAGCTTCATCCTTCAAGATCATAATACTTTGTTCGTGCTTTCCAATGGTAACATTGTAATTACAACATTTCTCTTCCAATGCTTTTATTTGTGATTTATATGACGCTACATTTGCTTGGAGAAGTTGAAAACGTGCATTCGCAGAATCCAACTGTGCTTTCAATCTGCAACAATAAGCCGAATTTGCATCTGCCTTCTTTCTATGTCTTTCAACTTCTTCGCCCAACATTTTTTCATGAGCTATTTTTTCTTTCCTATACAATTCAAACTCGTCTGTAACTTGTTTCAATTTATTCTCTAATTCCTCATATTTTCTTTTCCATTCCTTTTCTTTTTCGTTATCCACTGAATCTATAGATTTATCTGCTTCGTTTATAGTTTCTGCTGTGCTTGTATTTAATTCCTTATTTTCTTCATTAGACACATCTTTCATTTCTGTTGTACTTGATTGTTTCAAACTTTGCTGATACATATTTTTATACATATCACGTTGTCTTAATAAACCATCCAACATTTTAGCTTGTCTATCTTGAGCTTCCTGCATTTCTGCTAATTGTTCCAAATACCTAATATGGATATTTAATGTCAATTTAATTATTGTTTTATTGTAATTTATTTTTAATGTTATTAAAAAAACATTATTCTATATATAAATACAAACCTATCCAATTTTTCCTTCATTTCGCCAGAATTAATCTCATCAGTAGCTTTTTCCATTTCTTCTTGTTTTGTTGACAATGACCGTACAATTGATAATAATTTTTGATTATTTTCTTGTAATTCTTCGATGTCTTTAAATGTTACAAGTTGTTTCGTAATTATTTGCGAAGAATCTAGATCTTCCGTATTTGTTGTTGAAAATTCATTTTTGTGTAAACTATTGCCACTTCTATTTTCTTGAACTTCTTTAAGAAGATAACATACCTAATAAAAGAAAAAAAAAAAATAATAAATAGATGGTTAACAGAACATATCAATATATATCTTAATTTATTTCTCATTTTTTATTTTTCCGATAATAAATAAATCTATAAATAATTTACCTGTCTAGCTAAATCGGCAAGTTCTGATTTTAACCTTTGATTTTCTTTAGTGTAATGTTTGGATACTCGATTTGCTTCATCAGCAGATTCCTGTAGACGATGATTTTCTGTAAGAAGTTCATCCAATTGTGCTGTCAATGTAGCAACATGATTTGTCGCAGCTTCATAATCTTCGCGTTGCTGTTGCAATATAGGTGCTTTTTCTTCAAGTTCACGTAAGATAACATCCATTTGTGATTTTAAGCGTTCGTTTTCTTCGCGTTCCATTGTTAATTCATTAGTTGCATCTACTAATTGTGTATAAATTTGTGTGAGACTTAATCCCTTCTTTAAAATTCTACTAGCTACGGCTGCTGTTGGTGCCAATTGTTCAACGGCTTGATCTAATTTCTCTGTAATCAAACAAAACATTTTATTTTTAGAATATGTTTATTCATATTCAAATGTTAACATGATTTCAATATTTATATCTTACCTTGCTTAATATTTTTCAATAGTTCGTTTGCATTTTCTAGTTCTTTAGTAAGTTCGGTAATTTGTTGTTCTTTTTCTTGTAAATCTTGGTCATGTTGTAACTTAAGTTGATTATGATTTGTTTCCAATTCACCAAATTGTTCAGTAGCATGTTCTAACAATTCTTGAAGTTCTTTAACAGCGTTTATAAATTCGTCAGCTTTTGCATTAGCTTCATCTGCCATTCCTTTATAAAGATCTGCCAATCTAGTTTGGGCTCCAATTTCTTCGCGGTACGAAGCGTGCATAGATATCTCCTGCGTTCTTTGTTCTTCTAACTTTTGAGAAAGTTCTTCACAACGTCTTTGAAGAGACGAATGAGATTCACGCATTTGTGCAACTGTTTCATTAGCAATTCTCAATTCTTCATCGCGTTGTGATAAACGAGTGTCAGTCAGAAGAGTTCGTGCTGATGCTTCGGCCCTTGTTGCTTGTAATTCTGCTGTTCTCTTACTTAATTCTTCTTCCAAACCAGCTATTTGTTGAGAGAAAAGCGTTCTTTCTTGTTCTAAACGTTTTTCTCTATAAAATAAATTTGTATATTTAAATTATCATTAAAAATCTTGCAATTTTTTATATTGTTAAATCATAAAAATACCAACTTGAAATCCAAAGTCATGTCACGGCTACGAACTTCTTCTGCTTCCGCAAGAGCTTGGCACTTGGCAGCAACAGCGGTTTGTAATTGAGTTCCAAGAGAAGATAATTCAGTACGCATTCTTTCGATCTCAAAATCTCTTCGCTCAACTTGTAATTGCAGTGTATCTCTCTCATCGACAGCTGCATCTCTCTGTTTGCGTAAGTCACCATTTTCCTTTTCTAACCTATAAAAAATTGTAATAATTATACAACGTTAATGATCACTAAAATATATATTATACCCAAAGTTTATTAATTAACTTTAATTGTTATCTAATTAAATCAATAAAATACCTTTTAACAGATTCTTGCAATTTCTGTACTTCACCCTTAACTTCATTCAAATTAACTTCTAATTCTGTAGTGTATTTAACAGCCAATTCTAGTTTGCCATTGCATTCATCGAAGTTCGATTTAGTTTCTGTTAATTCTTTCTGAACTTTTTCCAAATTTTGTTCTAGACAAAAAATATTATAAAGAATTAGATCGAACGATTGTTAAAAGTAAGAAGAAAATTAAATACAAACTATCGATACGTACCAAGATTTTTACGGTTACTTTCAAAAACTGCCTTAGCAGTTATAAATTCTTCAAACTTGGCGTTAAAATGTGCTCCGAGTTTCTTTTTAATTAAATCGGGTACTTTCTTCAATTCATCTTCATTTAAAATGTTATACAGCACTTTCTGTTCATTTTCGTCAGTCGTCTCCATCTTTGCAACACTACGCACCAACTCTATGATGCACTGAACACTTTTTACAATTATAGAACAATGTTTTTTGTTTTATTATGATATTATTTTGTTTAATATAATCCCCGTTAATCCTAGCTACGATCGATTTAGCAAAATAACTAATATTTTCGACATAACTAACGTAAATTAGTAAAATTGTATAACACGCTGTTAATGGATACGATAAAACTACCGGCACTAGAATTCTTATAGAACTGACGCTCTTTCTGATTTCCTGTGTAAAAACTATCATTTGAAACTGTCTTATAGTTAAGTAACCAGATATTTATCCAATTGAGATCTTTCTCTAGATGTATTTTGTTTCTTCAACCAATAGCAATTCTTCTTACGAAATAACTCTAATAACATTTCCAATAACATTTCATCGTGAACGAACTACTTCTAAATATGATTGAGGTATGAATTTGATATAAAAAATTGTGAAATCATATTTATAAATTACAATAAATATTTAACATCAAATTTACCAACATTTTATTATTGTTTATATTGTTTTATACTTTAATATATTATTGATGAAAATATGCAATAAAATCGATAGTTATCGAACGAATTATCGAATGATTTTAAAATTCTATTTCAATTGAAGTTGGACTCACATTGTTTGTTTTGGAAACAATGTTTTAAGTGCAGACGAATTATTGTAGTATACAAAAAATTCTTTTATTTATTCTTGAAAGAATAAAAATGAAATAATGTTTTCTACAAAAATAAACATATTACCAGTAAAGAATATTTTAGGTTATGCTAATTTTAGTATTAACCACTGCAAATGGGAAACGATAAATATTTATTCACATAATGTACGAGCTTATTATAAAATAAGCAATGTAAATAAGATATTTCATAGTAATATAGAATATCAACCTAAAAATGGTATTGCCACATTATTTGACGATAGACAATTCTGTACAAAAAGTGAACCGAAGAAAGCGGATGTTTTTGGCGATATTGGATATAATAAATATAATAGAGTCGAAATGGACACGGAAGAGGAAAAGGAAGAAACATTTCAGGATAATATAGCTAAAAAACCAGAAAAGATAAAGGGTGCTTGGCGTCAGTATGTTACAAAAATGAATCATCATATTGGAAATGGAGATTTGTCATCTGCCTTAAACGTACTTTCATTAATCAAAGAGAATCGTGATAAACCTAGTACTTTCATGTATAATCTTCTTCTACGTGCTTATTCCAAGCAAGGAGATGTGAAACAATGTTTCAGTCTTTATAACAAAATGAAAAAAGCTCAATTGAAACCCAATAATGCTACATATACCAGTTTAATTAATTCTTGTGCAGAATCACAAAATAAATCTTTAGCTCTAGAAAAGTTAAAAAAATTACGCATTCACTTACATGAAACAGGACATCCAATGAATGAAACACATTATAATGTATTTATTAAAGCGTATAGTCGACATAACTGTATTGCTGAAGCTTTCCAAATAGTTGATGAAATGAGAGATAAAAGAATAAGTATAAATGTAATAACGTATAATTCTTTATTGAATGCTACAATATCTGATAAAAAAGCTGGTATGAGACATGCCTTGATCATATGGCATCTCATGCGCAAATATGGAATAAGACCAAATCTAATTACGTACAATCTATTCTTTAGAGCTATGAGAGATACAAACTTTGGTAAATGCAAACTTAGTGACATACTAACACATCAATTAATGGATACTAATTTAATAAGTACTACCAAAACAAGCAGACCAAATTTGCTAAGTACTCCTCCTATTGTCAGTTCAGTAACCGTACCTATAATAATAAATAATAAGAATGTAGAATACGAACTATCACCCGACATGCAATTAGATGATGTTTTTAAATATAATCGTTTTATTTTATTCGGCGGCTTGGAAAATATTTTAAAAATGATGAAAGAAGACTGTGTTATGCCTAATAAAGTAACGGCTACTATATTACTCGATTTAATTCCGAATACAGCATACATTGAAGATTTATTTCTTCGTAATATGAACAGTTTGAACGTTGATTTAGATATCGATTTTTATAACATGCTTATCAAGAGAAGGTGTATAAGGAGAGAATATGGTTTAGCTAAGGTAATCTAAATGAAATATTTTAATATTTGTTTTTTTGTTAATATTTGTCATCCTATTAAATTGAAGAAAACTTTTAATTAAAATTGATTGTTTTTTTGTAGAAAGTCTTAGAAGAAATTCAACGCAGACATATGTTGCCAAATATAATGACATTTGGAGTTTTAGCGTTAGGATGTCAAAAAGTTAAAGAAGCAGTAGAATTACTAGAAGGATTGGACATTGCTGGATATGTTCCAAATGTAGTCATTCTCGGAACACTTATATCTAATGCATGTCACGCGCTTGATACCAAATATCTAATGGAAATAATGGATTACATGACGAAAAACAAACTTAAAGCAAACGATAAGATTTATGTATTGCTGGATAATTATAAGGAAACATTGTCACAAATGCTACTCTCAAAGGTAATAGATATTTATGCAACTAGGTGAATGCAACATATAACTACATTAATAGTACTAAAAAGTTATTTTTTTTTATGTATATTATTGTAGAAAATTGCTTTCAAGAAACATTTGGAACTGAAAACGGACTTCGAAAAATTTTCATTAAAATATTCTAAATTTAAAAGGATGAATGATGGTGATAATGATTATTATGATAAACATAATGATAATTATGATGATGATCATTATAGTGATGATGATTATTATGATGATGATGTTGATGAGGATGATAATAATAAAAAAAATAAAAAACATGTACATAATTAAATAAAGTCAAATTTTATAGATTATATTATATATACAAGTGTATAATTTAATTTATCTTCTTGAATGTATTTGATTGCTTTTAGAATAGTTGACTCTATCTTTAAAATATATAATATACATTTTGGTTAAAAGTTAATAAAAATAAAATAAGAAATAAATTGTCATTTAAAATTATTATTATTATGTATTTAATAATAGAGAAAAATTATCGGAGGTAAGGAGGTCGTGTTTCTGGTACCCATGGTCGACTTCTGGCTCCAGTATTTACCACACGAGAAGGGCATGTTCCACGAATACTGAGTTTATTATAGCCAGTTGGTCCTGTGGGTTGAGCTCCACATGTTTCTAATGCCACAAAATCATCTACATGCAAGGATGGAGGTCTTGATGTATTTGGTGGTCGTGATCGGAATGGATCTGCACCTCTTCCTATACCTCCGACTGTAAGACCACCTCTCAACGAATTGGTAAATTGTGTCCTACCTCTCATAGGTGCTACTGTAATAAGCATTAAGTAATGAAAATATATTACTGTGCATTGCATAATATACAGAATCAATAATTATAATACATTTTTTTAACATATTTTTCTTTATGCTTATTATAATAAAAGAGTAAATATATCTCACCAAATGGTTGCTTCATTTTTGTAATAGGGGAGGGAGGTATTTGTTTTTGAATATCTCTATTTTCCTGATCATCGGGTTGAGTTTTTGATTGTAATGGCTGTATTGCATCATCAGGTGGTGCTTTGGAACATAAATTTTGTGCTTCTGATAGTAGATTAAAATCAGTAGGAAGTAGTTCTGCTGCAAAGTCTATTAGATCTACAACTGTTTTGTTTTGTATTTGATTTGACAAAATAAATGGACATTTCTTTGGACGTCTAGGAATGTATATAGGTGTTCTTAAACATCGTTGTGAAAACTGACTGAGCAAGGCTTCTGGAGTTGGCAATAATGGTTCTAACATTTCAGGTATTGGTTCTTTTTCTTCTTTATCTTCAGCAAATTTTAAAGTATTTACTAATTCTTGTGCGCCTTGTATTTTTTCTAACGGATGTCCAGTTTTATCCCAGGATATTAAAGTTGCTAATTGTTGTGCACGCAGATATAATGACCTCTTTTGTATATCATTGGCAATCATATTCTCTAAAAACTTTATTGTTAAATCTGTAATGAATTTTGTATCTGTATCTTCTAAATTCGAAATATGTTCTAGTAATGACTTTAATGCGTCAGGTTTGTTTTCCAAACAACTTTTTACATGATACAAGCCATAATTGTGACTGGTAAGAGATAGAAGTATGTACAAAGTATTTTCTAATATTTCTGGCTGAAATTTAGTGCTACTTGCTAATATTTCGATTAATAGAGTAAGAATTGATAAGAGTGGTTCTTTACTTGGTACCGAATGTGTTAATCTCTTTTCAAATGGTTCATTAGTATCTTCTTGAACAAGACTTAATGTACAATCACATAAGGTCTCAAAAGTATCAAGAATTTCTTGTTGAACTCGAACATCATTAGTTATTCTAAATGTTGCGCACATCAATTTAATAATTGGAGGATATCTTTGATCTAATTTAACTTGTGCTCTTGATGCTGGATTGGTCAAAGTTAATAGAGTAGCTTTCATAGGAGCATGCCTTGCTAAGTCACTAAGTAAGGCAAATATTAAAACATTATTTTCCAATGCTGTAGTAGTTATTATAACATCTAATAAACATCTACCTACTAACAATGCAGTAGGTGCTGCTAAATCACTCAATTGTTTACATACTGTGGAAAGAAGTACTAATAAATCTTTATTCCAACTGCTGCAAAGTAGTTTTAAGGTTTCAGTAAGATTATTGGCTTGTGCTTGAAGATGTGCCGACCATAATTTTCTTACACCGAGTATACGTGCTGTATCATCAGCTATAACTTCCTTTACAGTTAGTAATGGTGGAAGTATGCGTGATAAAAGTTTCAAACCAGGAATGAAATTACATGGACTGAAAGAAACCATTTTTAAAACTTCACCCAACATTTTGGTCCATAAAGATTTGGCTACATTTCCAGATCCATCTGAATCTACCACCTGCGTAAATACCAAGAGTGTTCCTACAATTTCATAGGAAAGACTTTGGACTAATCTTGTAGAAGGAATAGCTTCAACTAATGAGTAGACACCGAGCAAAGGCACAACAGCAGTTAAATCTTTAAACTCAGTTGCCATGCATTTCACTAATCGTTCTAACAGTGCCCTAGTCAATCTAACACATGGAAGAAGTAGTGCGACTAATGCTAATCCTCTTCGTCCAGTCAAAGCAGCACGATATAAAAATGGCTGTTCATAAAAATTAGAAATGTTAGACATAACAGCAACAAGCGCTGTTAATCCATCGGCAGCAAATAATTGTGTTAAAGCATTTCTATACTTTAATTCGATATATGGTTCCATAGGATCTATGTCATTATTTGAAGGAAAAATTAAATAATGCAGAATTCTGCATGCTGTTATTAACTGGCCTGGTAAAGATGCTGCTTTATCTGCACTTTTTCTAATGCATGTTACAAGTGAAGAAACATCTCCATAATTCCAATTAGATGTTTGAGCAGCTGTTGTTAAATATGATGTTACATCTCTTAAAACAGATTGATTTCTAGATTTTTCTAGGATAATACCAGCACGATTTTGAAATATTTCTACGTGATCGGAATAACGTATGATAACTGATATTATCTCAGCAGCAAATTCACAAAGGTTAGTATCAGAAAGATAAGGAATTAAGATATCTATAAATTCACCCATAGGAAGGACCGTTATTATAGCTTGTAATCCTTCAGGATATATAAGGAAAGAATGAAGTTTTTTTAAGGTTATCCAATCAGAGGCGTCAAACTTTAAATAAGTTAAACATTGTACAACTTGAAGTCGCCATGCTATAATAGAGCCTACACTCGCTGAATCGTATCTTAAAGCTTTTAATAAGTATTTGGTTATTTCTGGTTGTTTTAACAAGTGAAATAAACCCTCTTTTGTTTCTGAAAGACGTAAAAGGAAACGATGCGTCGCTTTAATTAAATCAGGTTCTGATTCTGGCGAAGTAAGAGCTAAAAGCAAATAAATCGAAAGTTTATGATGTTCGAAATAGCTAATTAAATGACACCGAGGATTACGATTTTCTTCTCGTTCAAATTCCATTTGTGCGCTTGCTGGCAACTGACGCTTAGGCTGAGCCATAAGTGTTGGTGCACATATATATGCATTTGTCAATTCTGTTATTATTAATTTATTAAGTTGTTTTAATTCGTCAAGAACTTCATAAATGTGGACTTTTCGTAATAAAGAACTCAAAGCATATTTTAGTCTTGCAAGTTTAGCTGCATCTAACATCATTATGGCATTTTTATACAAATTACTTTTGGATTTCAGGAACTCTTGAACAATTAGCGGACTTATTAATGCAGCATCCAATGCACGAAGTGCTGAAAGCTTAACTGGAAGTGCCACATTTTCACGCATGCATAGTGTTAATAATTTATAAGGTGCGTCTACTTTTAAAAGTATGCTTGGTCCCTGTGGAAGTCTACACAAAGCCTCGGCTAAGCGAACACCAACTTTGACGTGGCGCACTTTATAGGCTGGTTGTGGTTGAGCACGAGCAAGGTCTACATCAAGACCTGCATTTACAATATTAGTTAGGTCATTGGTATCACTGTCATTAAGATCAAAAGAACCAAGTGTTGCGCACAATGATTCACAACTATGTACAAATGTTTCTTTCTCTTGACCTGGCGCATTATTAAAATTTAAAACTAATTTAGAAAGCGACTGCAACGTTTCTCGTATTTTATCAGAAGTTTCACTATTCATAGAATTTCCTTCTATGGCCACAAGTGGTATTTCCAAATCTAATAGATCAGGCGGTGCTAGAGTATAAATAGCATCCAACTGAATATTTTCGCATTCAAATTCTGTTGTAGGTGGCAAATCATCAGCCATAATATCTTCGTCAGATAATATAGGTTCAAATGGTTCTCCAGTTTCTGCAACAGCTCCATCTTGTTCAGCTTCTTCTTCTTCAGCTGATATTGATTCTGGACTCAAGGAAACAAGAGATTCCGAAGGAGGTGAAGATGGACGCTTCACTCCTTTTTGCGCGGTATTATTTGTATCTTCCTCCCATTGTCCTGATTCTATCTTTCCAGTATCTGTTGTTGAACTTCTGGAGGGTTCAACTACTTGAATTGGTTGAATAGGTGGTGGTGGAGTAGCTGCTACACATGTTTCCTATTAATATAAAATATACATTTGAACAATTTGTTCAATCAAAATCTTACCATTCGTAACCTTTATTTTCTAGTTAATTCTAATACACACTTACATTTGGATTAGATTGGTTTTGATTTTCATAATACCATTCAGGCTGTTGCTCTGAAGGCTGTGGAGTACTTTCCGTAGTTTCTTCCAGTCCACTTACACATACACTAGATCCAGCAGCAGGACTAATAACTTCCTGTGGATTATTCAATGATTTTGTCAAAGAACCATATACAGCTAAAGTAATAGTAGTGTACCAGCCTCGCAATACTAAACCATCAGTTGGTATTTGTTTCCGTTCACATTCTAATTGAATGTGAATATTTTGTTTATATTCTAAGCCTCCAAGAGATTCAAATGTAGATGCTCCAGGCTTGCTTAAATCATTTACGAAAAATTCTATCTCAAACTGAGATGGATTAGTAGCACTGTAATAAATAAACTACAATATATATTTAAATATTAGAAATATATATGAGTAATGATAATAGTAATAATAATAATAATAATAATAATAATAATAATAATAATAATACACTTATGGATATATTATATATAATATTCACAAAAATAAATACTTAAATTTTCTTTCAAAATTATCTTATTTATATGTACATAAAATTTATAATTATATATTTATACTCATATTATTGTTATTATTATCAAATAAAAAACGTTTCTTTCAAAATTATCTTATTTATATGTACACAAAATTTATAATTACAAATTTATACTTATTATTATTATTATTATTATTATTATTATTATTATTATCAAATA